TTTGGGACCAAAAATTACAGTAAGTAGTATGCGAAATATTTTTAAGCAAAATTTTTTATGTTGAGTAAAAATAGTAAAAAAATACTCATATATTATAAATGATAAGAGACTCACAAAACGAAAAAAAGTGTTGAATTTTTATTTTAACAGTGAATACATATTTAGCGCTTTTTTATTGCATTCGTAGTTATAATAAATATAAGTCCGTATTTAAAGTATATGTTTGACAAGAATTTAAATAAATAGACCAGAAATAGATGTGAATAACGGCATATTATATTATATATGTTATAATGTATGCATTTATTGATTAAATATCTCAAATTGTGCACAAATTTTAATGCTATAAATAAGTCGGATATAAATTTTATGTAGAAATATATATTTATAGACATTTTCAGTTAGCATTGCTATGAAAAGTAATTTAATAGTCTTTTTTACTGTCAATTATTTTCTCATTGAGCGACAATTTTATGCTTTTTTGGTGTTATTTATTAGTCGAGAATTTTATAATTAATTTTGAAATATTATTAACACTAGTTTAGTATCTGTTTAATGTGTATAATATATAGATTCTTAGGAAATAATTGTATTTAATTTTTGAACAAATTAGTTGTAATAAAGCATTCACTAAGGAATTTATAATGTCAATGATTTTTCAATTCGTATATTTCCAATTATATTCATTTTTATACAATTAATTAATTTAAATGTTTAGATATAATTAGCAAAAAGAGAGAAATGATGTTTTAATTACAAATTATATGCATAACAAGTGGGATATACATTTATTTATATTATACAATTGTATGTAGTGTTGTTATGCGTGGATATATTGTGTTATATATTATTTATGACACTTTCTGATGAATTTTGTAATTTTAAAGTGAATACAATATTAATATGTTTTGATAAGTCTATCAATCATTAAATAAAAAAGTTTGTATAAAAATTTATGCCATATATATTAGATTTAAATGTGTTTTGAGGCAATAAATTTATGAATTAATAAATATTATTGAATACTATATTTCTTTACAACTTTGATATGCATTCAAATCATTCAAACAAAATCACTGTTTTTTTTGTAACCAATAGTGTTCAATAAAATTATGAATGAATTTATGTATGTTTTGCATTAAATGTGAGGATTTATTACAAAAATATGTGTATATTTTAAGTCATTTGTATGAAAAAAATATTTTACATTATTTTCGACACATTTTCTGCAAAATCATAATTTATTTTAATGTTTATGTTTGAGTTATATAAGTGCATATGTGTTCATATTAAACAATACTCTCTCTCTCTCTCTCTCTCTCTCTCTCACACACACACACACACACCACACACTCACTCACACACACACACATTGATTCATATTTCAAAATAAAGAAAAATTTGCTAAAAATGTATACAAAACGGTGTGTAAAATGAGTGCAAAACATAAAACGGCGACAAAGACTGTGCTTTCAATTGATCGGAACCGATGTTTTTCTCCCATAGATTTGTTTTGTATCGTAAGACTGAAAGCCGTGACTAAAACTTTTTTCTCCTCTTTTATGTATTAAAACAAAGCTTTTTTCGATATATAAGACGCCAATCGATACATATTTATATATATATACTCATCATTCGGGTTTATGGGGGTAACCAAAGGATAAAAACCATTGAATTGTGTAATAAGTGTTAATATTCGTATGAATATGTTGAAAAAGGTGTTATATTTATAGATTTTCAATGTACTGTATATATTAATATGAGTTTTAGTTTTTTGTTAAATTCTTATTGCAATTGAGTTGAGAATTCTTTTGAAAATAATAATTGATTTTAGTTTTAATCAATTTTATTTGTATTGAAAGTTTTAATTGAATTTCGATAATACAGAATATTCTATTAATACTGCATGTAATAATGTATACTCTATTGCTGTATTGTATTGTGTTTTTATCAATTTCATCTCAAGCTATACTTATTGAACAGTATTACAGTACTGTACAGTATATACTGTATAACATACCAAACCACAAGTTTGTCGGCTATTTAAATGTCAAATACATAACTAAGGGGCGAATGTACGCCACATAATAGGCGACCACTATTTGACTGTATGGGACAACCCTTGGCTACACCCATAATCAGCTTTTGTATATCGAGTATACATTGAAAAACTTACTTTTCATACACACAGTCTGTGTATATCTTTGTTATACAGTATATTAGCAAAGAATGCATAGAATATTGAATTTTCTCAGACTTTTATAACTTATATATATTTTTTGTTGTAAACTCTGTTTGAAAAGCAATTTATTGACAGCGAAAGCAAATGTGCAGTAAAACTAGGAGTCGTTTTTTGATGTGAAAAAAGCGTATCAAATATTTTATTAACTAACGAGTAATGAGGCATTGGATACGAGTTGTGTGCCTAACGAACCCCAAAAAGCACATCAAATATATATATTTAGTATATATATATATAGATAGAAATATATATATACTGTATATTCCGGGTATAACTCTCTGTAATTCACTTGTATTGTGTAGTAATATATCTCTATATATAAAGTACACAGTAGACGAGATATACGTTTATACAGAATATTCTGTAGTGTAGAAAAAAAGTAAACTCATTAATTTGGTCTTTAATGCATTGAATTTAATGGGGAAATAAAAAATATTTTAATCCATATAATATTAGTGTACTGTATGTGTTAAGGATTATAAAAAAAATATCTGTACCAAAACTGTTTTATTATTATATTTTATATATAATAATTCATTAAAATTTATTTTTTATTTTTTGTAATGAATTATTGATTAGTTTTCATTAATACTTATTAAGGGTTTATGAACTCAAAAGTTATTGATTGTTAAAAATAAATTTTGCATAATATTGTGTACATTTATAATGATGTATTGAGTATTTTTAGTAATATTCTAAAATTATTTAGCTATATGTTGAATGAAAATATTTTAATTAAAATGTTCCCTTAGATAATCAAAATTATAAAAATATTTTTATTTCTCATATAATATTCAGAAATTGTATTCATTTTTGTCGGTTGGATAAAATTCTTGTCTTTTATTTTCTGAATACATTAAACGAAATACACTTTTATATAACTGTTTTAAATGTATTTTCTGATATAAAACTCTTGGTTTTAAGTTTTAAAATATTCATGAGAATCATGTGTAGCCAGAGGTGTGTGTGAAAAATAAGCAGGGATTAAATTCTTAGCAAAATTCCTTAAGGAATTCCGTACATCAAAATTGCAGACTAGGTATTTAAAATATTTGTTTTATTATTTGATAATTAACAATTATATTACTATTGTGTCCATAAGATTCTATGTAATGATAATTTTCCACAAACATAAAAATGTTTGCGACACAAATGAGATAATTTTTTGTTCAAAGTTTTAGCACATGTTTCGATTAAATGGTAAACAACTGAAATCCTAGTTATTATTATATTTTAAATTAAAATATTTAAATTTTGTAAAACAAGTATTATTACAACAATAATTCTTATGAAACAGAATATTCTGATTATTTCCAACTAAAATTAATATGATATATATTTCAAGAAAAATATTTTTATATAAGAAATATTTGGCAATTTGTTACTATTAATAAATTGTCGGTCAAAGGGGTTGTCTGTCTGAATATCTGCCATTAGTAGCCATACTTTTCCCGTCTGTCTGTCGGATAAATTGACTGTCATTTTAGGGACTAATTTGACATTCGATACCCAATAGTGTATGGCATAAGAGTGTAGTTTTATTTTGTTGAGCAGATTATTATATTTAGTACAGCTATAATAAGATAGTTAGCCATCGGTTGCTCTTAAGATTTGTCTTATGGCTACCAAAACCCAGTGGTGATCATCGGTGTTAAGGGGGTGTGGGGCTAGTAGTCTGCGAATTAATATTATTTTTATAAATAACAATATATTTCTATAATAAGATTTACAAAATAGAAACAACTTAACATTCTTATACATTAATTATTTAGGCTGCTGTAAAGCAATTAACTTTTACATTTTAAGCTATTTATTTAACTATAATTAATATGTTTGCTAATCATGTTAAGACGGTATACCCATGATTGCTTGAGACATGGTATGTGCGTTCAATATCCCTGGTATTTATAAATCTATATCTTATTCGCTGCCAAAATACATGCCATAGACTCGCATCAAAGGTAACGCTAATGAGATGTTGGCTTTCGGTGCACAACATTATTACTGATGGAGAAAACGATAGATTAGAATCTCATGCTCTCACTCACTCTCTCTCTCTCCAATACTATCACTTTTCTAGTATACAATTCTGGGCACAACTATAGAGGAAAAAAACTAATGAATATATTTTTGTAGCGAAGCATAGATTGGAATCTTAACCAAGACTTGAATGTGAAGTTTTTGGGGTAGAGTTCCACAACCCTTTCCCCATACTATTAGGTAGAGTAATAGTAACAGTAGTATAAATTGTTGAGACATGTAATTTGCATTAATAGCAGCAAATTAATAACAAAATAAGTGAATGCTTAATATGTTACAATGTTTGTAATGTTTCTTGTTTAACTTTTAAAGTTTCTGTATAATATATATCACAGATTTATAAAACATTAATTTTGCGATATTTCTAAATCGGATTCACAAAATTTTTTATCATCAAAAATGTATGCTTTGAATATACATTAGATTTTTAGTTTAGTTTTTTCTTTCGCTTTTTATTTTCTCGTTTTTCTTTTTTGTCTATCGATTACTACACACATTGAGATCGAAGTGTTATTTGTTAGACTGGGAGAGAGAGAGAGAGAGAGAGAGAGAGAGAGAGTCTAAAAGAGTTTGAACTCAATATATCTATATATAAGTCACACATATTCCTAATGGCTATAAGTCTGCCAATGATGTCAAATGGCTTAAGCGGTGCACAAATATCTCAACCATTTTCTTGTGTTGGACTTCAATTACCATTTGATTACATTTATCTAATATGGGGTACACTATAGGCAGAGGTGACCGCAAGTGTGTGTTTGTGTTGATATGTGTGCACTTGTATGGCAACAAATGGTGCGCAAACACCTGCCACTAAATTCAATCATATTTTATGTGAATTAAAATAATTAATGAATTATTTTTGATGATGCATTATATGATATTTAGTGTTATACTAGGTAATCAAATAGTAGTTGACTTAACCTCCCCCCACAAAACCTACCCATCCCTATGTGTAAACCCAGTGTATTAATACACAAGTCTATTAATTATATACCATTCGATACAAATGTTTTTCATTAGTCTTTTAGTTAATTTCATATATAATTAATTAAAATGTATTTATTCTGCGCGTAAATGCGAGCCATTATTCAGTAATCCATTGAATTGAATGGAGTTTTATTTTATTTAATAAATTCCATGCAATTAGAGAATATTCTTGTGTCTCATTTCAATTGACTGTATGCTTTGATATCAAGAATAAATAGTTTATGGAAATAGCAGTATATTAGCTAAATATATAAAACTTTTTGTTTGTTTTTCAGGCAAATCATTGCAAACCAAACACTATATCCTATCGGCCGGCGATTTGCTCATTACAAACATCGACTCCAATGACGTGAGACGGAGATACCGGTGCCAAGTGGCCAACCGGTTGACCGGTGAGCGCACCGACAGCACCATATGGGCCCGAATTGTTTTGATTGGTAAGTTAATTAATGTATTACTAAAATAGTTATTTATTAGTTAAATTATTAGTTATTTTATTTCATTGATTTATTAGTTTTATTTAAATATACATAGTTTGTTTTTATAAATAATAAAATTTCATCAGTTATATTTTACAATAATTAGTTGATATTCCTTATTAAATATAAATAGTTTAGTTAATAATATTAATCTTATTTAAGCAAGTATAGAATATTTTTAAATTCTTGCTTATAAGTTATAATATATATTTTGAATTATAGTTATTTGTACCGAGAGTTGAATTCTTTTAAAGTTGTAGTGTTTTTTCAAAAGCAATCCATTGTAACAAAACCCTCACTCCATATAAAGTTATATATTTTAATTAATATACTGTCCACGAGGATAACGTCTGAAACGTTTGTACTCTTAAATGCCATTATATTTTGAGACGTGCCGTACCATAAGCTGGTGTGACATAACTTATTGGACAGTTAGCTGTCATTTTTAGCTCCGGAGCCGACACTACAACAACAAAAAAGTGTGTTTAAAGTGTTCGCCGTTTTGAGCAGCGAATCGATAGTTTGCTTTTAAGTCTTGACTAATAATTTAATTTAATTAACTTTAAAAACAGTCTATCGTTTTGCTGATCGCTATAATTGAGTCCATAAACTGACACAAAGAAGTTTATGTCATTTATATACAGTTTTATATAAAAATGTTTTGTTAGACAATATTAATGTGTATTTATCAGAGTTTTAGCAAATATTGTTTATGGCATATTAATTGAATTTTAAATCTATAAGTATTTTCATTATACAGTATTTATGATAAAGAATTTATACTTATTATATTTGTTTAAACTTTATACATTAACTTATGTAATATATTATATTAAATAATAATTGTGTGATTGCTATGCAGATAGAGGACACGACTCGATCCCTGGCCTTAAAAACAACCTGAGCCCACCCATGAACGCACTGGTAGTAAACGAGGGCCAGTCAGTAGCCCTGTACTGTTCATTCGACGGTCAGCCCCGACCGACACTGGAATGGTATTACGCGTCTGTGAGCGCCTCCGCCGACACCTCATCGACAGCTACAATGAAACGTCTGTCCACTTCGGACACCGGCAGCTATAGAGTTACGCCAAACATGCTATTAATAGCTAACGCACAGCACAGGGATAGCGGAAGGTTTATATGTGTGGCCAATACTACCAGAGCTGAACAGAGATACGAGACACAAGTCATCGTTAGAAGTAAGTACAGCTCTCTCTCTCTCTCTCTCTCCTGTATTTCATTCATTAGTTCGTAATATAAGTTAATATACGGTCTAATGAATAGATTAATGAATGATAACATATGACATAATAAGCGAAAGTAAGGCACAGAATACAGAATATTCTTCGCTATGATATGATAGCGAATTGAGTTAGACTTATGTGTTATGTGTTATACAATAATAACTCTTCTGTTAACTCGTTTTTCATGCTCTCTCTCTCTCCCCAATGCCTGTCCACTCGCTTTTGTGCCGCACCGTTAGCTTCACTATCAGCCCACTTATCTGCCTCGTCATCGACTCCCAGTCTCGGCGAAGACATTATCCTAAACTGTAACCTAACTGTGATCGAGCCCTCCCAGTCCCCCACCGCGTCCACAATACCCACGTCCAGCAGCGCCTACAGCATAATAGCGGGCGTCAAGTGGTTCCGAAATATGCGGCCAATAGTGATGGACCACCGGATCAGACAAATCAGCGAAACTGTGATTAACATCCGTTCGTTCCGCTACTCAGACGCCGGAGTCATACAGTGTTTCATACACTTGAAGGCCGGCCCCGACTACGAGGAATGGCTACAATCGGCTACTGTTCTCACAATGGAAGGTATGTATGATTTTCATTGTTATTGATGTCTAACTTATACCCATCATTAGGCGTGGGTTTGGTTTTGGGGTTTGGATTTGTTTTTTGTTTATTTGTTTGTGTAGTGAAGGGGATAACCAAATGGACACTGACTTAGAGATAGTAGTCATAAATTATAGCCTATAATGGAGTTGAAAATTATGGCCATATTTTAGGCCATGTATTGATATCTGGTATCGATTTATGTACCGAAACACTGGTAATAGTGTTGTGTTTTAATCGGATATTTCTCTCAGGAGGTGGTATTTCCAGTGTTATTATAGTGTTATTGTTTGGCTTTATTTTAAGTGTCTATTACACCGATTCCCATGCGATGCCCTTATATTTTTTGTGGGCTAACACTGATTGGAGAGTCAAATGAGATATCGGAAGCCAATTGTTGGCAAAATATTTGTAACAAACCTAACAAATTGTGTAACTTTTTTTGTTGCACTTATTTTTTTCGCTACCCTTTATAACTATCCGGCTATTGATTCCCAATAATTGTCTCCATTTTCTATATATAGTACAATATATCTATGATTCGATAGAGATATTACTTTATCACGATTTCAAACATAGAAATCTAACTTTCCATAAGAATTGCAATAATTATATTTTGCTGGAATCTTTATTTAGCATTATTACATATGAATAACTTTTAAATCATGTATTAAATGCAAATTGTCTATATTAAAACATGTGTACTGTCACATTTTGAAATCTCCATTCAATTTCTTTGTTATATTCTTTATGTTTTATTTTATTGCTTTATCTATAATTGATATGTATTTTTGGGTATCATTTTTTATGACAGAAAAAGCGCCGGTATTCACAACAGTATTCTCGGAGCAAATCAAGATGGGTAACAGCGATCTGGGGCTTAAGTGTGCGGCCGTAGGTCTACCTCCGCCTCAGATTGAGTGGAAGTTGGATGAGATGGACGTATCGGGCATTCATAGGGCACGGGTTCACAGCTACGCCAAAGCCGATAGAGTGGGCACTGTATCCCAGCTCAACATCAGCTCATTGCGAATGGAGGTTAGGGTGCCGTCAGTCTCTCTCTCCCAGTGTTTGTGTCGTATAAATTGCTTTTACATCCAAAGCCCTTATCCAACAATTTTTTGTTAAGTGCGAGAAAGTGATGGGAAAACGGATTTTTATGGACTCTCTTTGTTATATCGAGGGATCAAAAGATCAATAAATCTATTGAAAAACAAAATAACACTTTCCCTACACTTTTTGCTACACATTTATATAAATGCAGAGCACTTTAAAAAATATATATATATTTATAAATTGAGTGAAAAATTTTGGCAAAACTTTTCATTTACTGCGGATTTAAGCATATCTTAAACGATAAGTCAGTTTATGAACGGCTATTATACTGAGAACTATCACAAAAAGTTTATTGAATTTTTTATCCCTGGATATAGAGTTTACACATAAAAGACATTTTGAAATAAATTTACCTTTGATTGAAATTTGCAACCCCTGTCCCCCCAATTTTCCGTTGAATGTGTAGATTCCTATTAGCGAGTGATTATTGTAACTTAAAAGGCATACCATTAGCCCATTAATCGCACATAAGATTACAAATCTTTTTTCCAGTAATACTTTTCCATAAATCGTTTTTCACTTAAATTTACATTAAGTGTTGTATTGTATTGAAATGCATTTTGCTTTATTAGTAAAATACAGTCAACTCCTGCTATAGTATTCATGTATACAAACATGATGTGATAATTGTTTTTGTAGGAAACTGGCGTCTTCCAGTGTATAGCCAGCAATTCGAGGGGAACAGTAGCTCACAGGGCCCGCATCAATATAATGGGCTCGCTATACATTAAGCCTATCGGAAACGTTAGCGCACTCGTAGGCCATTCGGTGACAATCAACTGTTCCTATTCTGGATATCCTATCGAAGAGGTCTTCTTCCTAAAAGGTATGTCCCATCAAATAATCTATAAAATAATATTGTACAAGGTATATTGTTTTATATACATATTTGCCATAAATCAAACATCAAGATAACAAATTAATATCCTATCGAAGAGGTCTTCTTCCTAAAAGGTATGTCCCATCAAATAATCTATAAAATAATATTGTACAGGGTATATTGTTTTATATACATATTTGCCATAAATCAAACATCAAGATAACAAATTGTATGATTAGTGTCCTTAAGATATTCAAAAAAGACTACCATGATACATCCAGGTTACAAAAAAGGACAAGTTCTTGAATTTTTGTTTTTATGACAAATTGAATGCTCACACAATCTGTATTCAAAGTGAGTACAAGTAATACAAGTCGAGTACTTGACTATAATCGACAGCTTTTTTTTCTATACATGAATGTGTTGATACTTTTTTGGAAATAGGCCCCAGGTTATCTCATTGAAATAAATGAGTTTTATTCCATTAAGCGAAAGTGTATTTAAGTTTAGTTTTACTTTTAGATTAGACGTGTGTTTAAGTTGCAGTTAAAGTTAAAATTCAATTCATTCAATACAAATTGGATGTTATATTTTTGATAGTTTGCAGCCCTTTTGTTGCAGAATATTCTTTACAGAATCTCTCTCTCTCTCTCTCTCTCTCTCTCTCTACACACACACACACACACACACACAAAACTGCACTTTTACTTACAGTATAGTTGTGTCTATTTTTTAGCACATAAAAGGTCTCCAAATAAATAGAAAGCATTAATCAATACATGAAATGAATTAAAAAACGTCATGTGTTTGCGTTTATCTCTATATCCGGTCTCCGTTTGACAGGAAATCGACGCTTGCCTTTGGATGAGAGACACTCTCAGCCATCCATTGGACGGCTGACTATCTCTCACGTCGACAGGACTGACGAAGACGTATACAAATGTGTTGTCCTATCGCTTAGTGGCCAACGAATGGAACAAACATTTCATCTGAGAGTCAGCGGTCTGTCTGTCTGTTTGTCTGTCTGTCCCCTGCCGTCCATTACAGGACTGACGAAGACGTATACAAATGTGTTGTCCTATCGCTTAGTGGCCAACGAATGGAACAAACATTTCATCTGAGAGTCAGCGGTCTGTCTGTTTGTCTGTCTGTCCCCTCCCGTCCACTCTATCACTCAATACAGGAATCCATAAGCTATTTGTGAACCCATTTTGCACTATAAATACTCAACATATTTGTTTTTATTAGCTTTGGGTCACTGCTAGGGCTACGAAGTGTTTCAGTTATTTATTACATATTTATACGATTTCAAGAATATTCTGACATAAGTTCTACAATATTTAGTATGAATATTAGTTAACCTTTATAAAACTAGAATTCAAGTTAACTTTATTGTTGAAAAATTTATTTGTCAAACGATTATCTCGATTAACTGAACAGTTTAGGATGATTATTGGGTTTATAGTAAGTCCCGTATTATTTGTATTATTATTATTGATTACATAGTGTCTTAAACTTGGGGTCCATTTATGACAGGCTATGGTTATGCCCTGTATTACAAGGATAACATCTTATTTTAAAATGAATTCTGAGCCCAATTTTTAATGTCAGTAATTTTTAGGCGCAAAATATACGAATTTACTGTAAAAGGGAAAGCCGTCTATTTTAGGCACCATTAAGCCGAGCACTAGAAAATAACAGTGCATTCTGTATATTATTAGTGAAACAGATTTGCTTTTTATTTATTCGTTAAATACTTTATCAATAAATACGGTCTACTTATGCACTGGTATCTTATTGAACGCCTGAAAATTTTGTATATTAAATGACAAATCCATATATAAATAGTGGATATATTTTAAAGAATATTCTCGCAGCGAATAGTTATCTCGTGTCGGATCTATTTTTGCCCATTATATCGATATATAATTTATAAATAAACAAAAAAGTTGTTCCCCGTTAATAATATATGGGAATATTCTTAACGATGAGAATCGTATGAGTGATAAAATAATAAATATATCCAGTAGTTTGCAAATTCCTGCAACACTTAGTATAATAGCGTTGTTTATTACGGCACCGACAGCTGCACCGGCTATTAGTCCGTTCATGTTCTCCGACAACTTGGAGGAAGGCATGAGAAGTTCGGCCGTTTGCTCAGTCATATCGGGCGGTGAGTGTGTTTTGCTTACATTCAATAATCAGGGTATTTGTTGTGAGAAATTGGAGATGTGATTATATTAATTGTGTTTATTTTACAATTATGGCTATATTTATTATAGCCAAACATCTAATTATAGTATAATTATATTTTCTACTGACTTGTAGTTTTTAATTACAAAATTTTAGTAAATATTTTATAACATCCGGTAGAATTGTATTTATAATAACGATTAACAGCTAGGCAATTCTGTAATTAAAACTAAATATTGTAATCTAGTTTATGAAAATAGATACAATAAAATTTCTTACAGTTAGTACTACTATAAATCCTTGATTTAGGTTAAGTTAGTTTAATTTAATTATTAATTACCTTTATAAACACAATTAAACGTGAACCCTGTCAACCTCTACCCATTAATAACAGAGCCCCCGATAACCATCCGATGGCTGAAAGACGGCAAACCTCTGTCGCAAATCGATGCCGACCTCCAGATCGTGTCGATCAACGAATTCATATCATCGCTAATCATATCAAATATATCGCGCTATCATAAGGGGAACTACACGTGCGTCGCCTCATCGGACGTGTCGTCCACTAACTTCACTGCCATAATGGCTGTGCGGGCGGCGCCCCAATGGATCGTCAAACCGGCCGACCGGCACGCCGTCGTTGGACAGCCGGCGCTATTCGACTGCCAGTCGACAGGCTTTCCACAGCCGGTCACCCGATGGAAGTTTATCAGAGTGTCCGCCCAAATGTCGGGCACCGGTGGTGGTGGTGGTGGTGGACCGGTAGCCACCGGCTCTGACGCCGTGTCCATATTAAGTAGTCCGCAGATACATGTGCTCGAGAACGGCTCCCTGTCCATCAGGGCGGTGGAGGTGGGCTATCAGGGCGTGTATGTGTGCGACGCCTCTAATGGGGTCGGGAGGCCCCTGGAGGTGAGCGCCAAACTGTTTGTCCATTCGGTGCCGCAGATTAGTGTCGCGCCCAAACAGGTGACTGTGCGCCGGGCCTCTCAGGTCCAGTTCCAGTGTATCGGCGCCGGCACCGCACCCCTCACCATACAGTGGCTTAAAAACGGAGTTCCGCTCAATAGTGTGGACCGGTATGTGTGTGTTATTAAATGTCTATGTTAAATATTCAACCAAATATCACATCTTTAGTTATGTGGTGCGCGAGGAGTTCACCAAAACGGGCGGTACCGAGAAGTCGTCCCAAATCGCGATCAATAACTCCGTGCGCGACGACACGGCTGTCTTCACGTGTCTGGCCGTCAATCAGTACGGCAGCGACAATCAGGACGTCAATGTGGCCGTCCAGGAGCCGCCCGACCCGCCCACTGGACTACGCGGGCTTGAGGTGGGCGCCCGGTCTCTGTCGCTCGCGTGGACTCTAAACTATTTCGGGAATAGTGTTGTCGTTAAGCACAGCATTCAATACAAACGAAAATCAGGTAATTTTTGGGCTTATATTTTGTTTGAGTTTGTGGTGTGTGTTGTGAAGTGTTTCCCTTTTGTGTCAATCTATAAAACCTATTAAATCAAAAATATTATAAGTAATTTGTTATATAATAAAAATGCTGGTTATTTAGATTCTAGACTTTTATGTATTATAATTTAATGATTCCTGTTTTAGTACTGATACAATATTTTTTATACACAAAGAATATTTTGTATAATAGAGTGTAGTGTTATAATTAATCGCTTTGAAACACTTTTTGATTTTGTTTATGTTAGCATAATATTTGGTTGCCGTTTAAAATATATTTAGTTAGTAAATATTGTTTTTATTATAAAGTTTAAAAATTAATTTATTTTATAATTTTTATATATATATATTTTTTGAGATGTTTTATTAGAATCTCAATAAAACAGAATTTTTATAGCATTAAAGAAAGTATATTCTTAACCTTAAAAATAAATATTTAGTCAAATATTTGCATTAAAAGCGGAGATATAAACAATGGAAAAATGAATTCTTGCCATAGATATATTTATAATATATTTATATTTTGATTAATTATATATAAATGTGTGCTAAAAGTTTTATATATGAAAATTCAATATTTTATTACATAATAGAGTGCGTAATATGTTATTCAAAAATTAACTCAGCCGTGAAGTTTTGTTCAAATTTCTATTTAAATCACAAAAACAACACACGATTATCAATGTTATGTGTAGTGATCGACTGCCCCCTCATTTCGCTATATTATACGCTATGTATACGAGATAATAGACTAAGAGCTTAATTATAAAAATTTTGATAAAACTATTTTTGGGCTAATATTTTATGACAACAAAAAATGGGAGATTTATTGAATCGATTTCAGTGTCGCTCTTATCAGCACTTGTATGCTCTCTCTCTCTCTCTCTCTCTCGAAATTATGAATAAAATTTGAATTGATTTGAATATTAATTATAATTTTCTCAATAATTCTGGCGTTTTTTCGCTGCACTTACTATTTATCTGTCTCACCACTAATGAACCCATTATTACACTATAAAAACATTGTTCAACGCATATAATGGTAGGCAATGATAGATGTGTTACAATAAAAACGGGAGATTAATATTGCGATAGAGATTGCAATCAATAATTTATATCAATTAAAAATTGCCAACAAACTTTGCGTTATTTAATGGATTAATAAAAAGCTCGTCAATAATTCCTTATAAGACTGAAAACATTTATTAGCAAATCTGATAAAATGTCAAAAATACTGTTTAATGGTTTTAAGGGAGAAAGCATTTTTGCAAGTAATTTTATTGCAGCCTAAATAGGAATTTATAACTTTTTATTAGATTATGAATATTTTATAAAAAAAATAATAATCAAATTTTTGCTAACTTTCATTTATAATTAATGTATTTAAGACAAATGACTGCCCCTTTGCTCATCTCTGGTCACAAAACTGAGAGTTTTATATAAATAAAGCAAAAGACATGTCTTTTAACTAAAAAAACTCTAATATATCTTAAGTGAAGAGTTCTGTCGATAGGTTCGCAGAAAATAAGTTATATTATTATTTAATACTATGAAAGAGACAAAAGAGTTTGCTTTTTGTCTTTTACTAACGATATTTATAATAATATTCTTTGTATCTCTCAGACAATGGTATAGAATATTCTTTGTGTTGACTTTAGGCCTATGAGTCGATTCTCTCGTCTAAAGTGATAGCAAAAAATCGAGAATAAATTTTTTGTATTCAAAATTAATTTCGCTTTTTTCTGGTTGAGTATATGTGCTGTTAGTGTATGTGTGTGTGAGTGAGAGTCCCTGTATATGTCGGTGCCATAAATGATTGAATATCAATGGCATCTCATAGGATGTATAGGCGCTTAAAACAGTGTGAGAGTTGTGTGTATGTGTGTGCGGGTAGGGCTGTTATATAACGTTTAGACAGTTCGCCAGTTAATTGATTGATCTCTCTATCTATCCATACATTCACGCGTTGGGAACCCCAATGGCACCCGACGTTTGGCACCGACAGAGCAATGGTTCGAAGCGTTGCTCATCCACTCGACGTCCAATACGGTAACGATTGTCAATCTATCGCCGGTCACCGCATATGACATTAGGGTTAGAGTGGAGAATGAGATCGGATTCAGTGACTATAGCGAACCCATTGCCATCACTACCACAATGGAAGGTATGCCCATATAATCACTATATTCACCACCGATTCATACATTTGTTTCGGCTATATAT